GTCAATGTATGATCGTCATTAGATGCGATAAAGAATATTCATTTACACCGAGAAAACTCATTTCAAAGTGTTTTAATAATATTCGACTAAACATTAAATCATGTATTTTACTTTGACACTTAATAAATTCTGCTTACATAAAATGTCTGGTTATTAGTACACGTGCTCATATTTATATAATAATTTTTAAATTAATATCGAAGCCTACTTTATCATGTTATCGGTAAAACTGTAAAATCAACATCAACTTTTTATTATTATATATTGATTGAAAGTTAATTTCTTCACATAATCATTAAACACAATGAATTACCTATATATATATATATATATATATATATATATATATATAACATACACATATTATTACGTATATAAATTACTTATATGTATATACATTAATTATTAAAAAGTAACGAGGTCATAAATAATTATCATAATTATTGAGTATTCGAAGATCGATTCAGGATTATCAAAGTATTGTTTCATTAATTGTTTGTCTTAATATTAGGCCCTTTGACATATAAAACGAACATAATTTTTTTAATTAATTTTTGGCAAATCTGAAATGAAGATTTCATCAATCTTTCATTTCAAGAGTTCTCAATAAATTGAGCGCGACTTTTAAAAAAAAAAAAAACAAAAAAAAAAAAAAAACACGCACAATCAAGATATATCTATAACAAAATCTTTAAAATACTTGTAATGGTAGATATATATATATATATATATATATATATATATATTTTATAATGAATCGTATGGCACTTATAAATCAGACGTGTTTCGAGATTTAAATTTATTTATAAAAATTAATAATTTATTAATAATACTGATTCATTCACTAAATTTATTTTCTAACAGAAAATAGCCATTTACATTATTTCATTTTGCAAACAAATAGCCATATATATATATTTAGCACAAACGTGCAATAAAGAGATTTTACTTGTTCTAAAAAATTGTATGATTACAAAATTAAAATGAGTTTTGACTCTTTTATTATATAATTTATTATATATTCATTTCGATTCATTTTGGTAAGAATAGCATAATCGATAAAATAATTTTGTCTTTAAAATATTTCAACGTAATGGGAAATCCATTTTATAAGGAAGACCATAAAGTGTTTACACGTACAATTTAAGCATGTACATGTCATTGTTTTCTGTATGTTTTGGTATTAAACAACAATGTAACAATCATTCTATATGCGATAATCTGTCCGATGTTCACCCGATACGCCGTATGTGTGTGTACGTATCGTTTCTTTTATTAAATGAATAATGATATTTGTGTACATTAGTAAGCAATACATGTGCACATGATTTGAACGGATGTACACTACGAACTATTTAAATGTATTTAAAAACTAGAATTAAAATATCAGTCATTATTCAAAATAATATTTGATTATTTTATGTCGGAGGCGAATATCAACTATCAAATAATGTGAAAAATAATATGATATTGTAATTTAATCATTTACATAATTTCTACCGTTGAAATGAAATATGAACGATTTCTATGTTAAGCTATTTATTGTGGACAAGGGAAATTATGTCTCGATGGTGAACATTTCTGTGGAGAATTCGAATACTCCAGCAAATACTTGATCTAATGATGTTTGCAATTTGAAATAATTTGTTATTGTGTCGATCCCGTGACTTGGTCATGTCTAAGCATTGACAAGAAAAAATCACAAATACAGAACAGATGTTTAATTTACTTTCTCTATACATACTCATCATATGCTTATCTCATCATCTTCTTACAAACATATACGAACAATAAAGAATCAAGTAGGTGGCAAGTTTTTTTTTACTTTTCCATAGATATTTTTGAGTGGACCCCTCGATCTGATCCTCGCGCGCGCGCGCCCACACGCACGCGCGCCCACACGCACACGCACACGCACACGCACACGCACACGCACACACACACGCGCGCGCGCACGCACGCGCACAATATAGCTTTAGACGTCGATGATAATTTATTTAGAATTTGGATCGCACATTAATAGAGAAGGTAAGGAATTAGCATTCCTTCGTAGCGCATTGTACCTCTTCGTTTTCAATTTTCACATTGTTTCCCCGTCACTTTCTTTCCTCGCACTTCTTTTTTTTCATTTTATTACTATTTAATTTTCTTACTTAAAATAATGTGGCCCCTTTCACGCAGGCTCGATGTTGTAAGTGTCATTAATTTCTTTAAAATTTCTTTTCTTCATCTTCAAGATTCTTATCTTGATTCTCTCGCGTTCCTTTTTACGTCGATCGCTAAACATATTCACTCTTAAATCTGCAATTTTATACAAATTACATTGTACACGTAAAAATGTCATAATTATTACATTTAGGCTATTATTGTGCTAGGACGTAGTTTAAACGAAATATTGTTGCATAATCTCGTTATGGTATTTATAAACTTTTATAAATGTTATAATTATAATTGAATAACAGTTGATAAGAAAATGATTTAAAATGCAAATTACCGAGGTTTATTGAATATCGTTAAAAATACATAAACGAATGGTAATGACATTCATCTTCCAATCACCGTTTTGCAAATGTATATAATGTGCACAACTTGGTCGATTCGCGTATTTATGCAAGTCGAGACCGTCGAATCTCCGTATGGATCTTGAGAAAAATTTCTTTTCTTTTTATAATCGTGTTTTAGTACGCACGCGTGATATTTTCTTAAGCGGTAGTAAAATTCGTCGTCTTCTTGTACCTTTTTTCCTCCTTAGCGCCGTTCCTTTCATACTTTCTCGCGGTCCCTTGATTGAATGTGGGTTAAGAAGATGTACAAGTCCTCCATGAGTGACTGACTATATCTGTATACTTTCAGATTTTTACAGACTAGCATAAAGTTAAGGGATATAGCGAATCGTAGGAGGTTCATTTAGAAAAATATGATAAAAATATATCGACGCTTTAAGACGAAGGGCTGGAGATCAAAGCGAACTTGTGCTTGTAAAATTTTCCAATTGAACTATCGAATATTATCGAATTGTACTTCTGAACTATGCTTAAAGCGGATATTGGCAATTCTTTTAAATTAAATGTCGTTGAATAATACAGGGCGAATAATAAGAGGGCGAACGAAGAATTAATTTTACAGGAAGAATTTTCGAAATGCATGACTTATATAGAAGCTTCGAGTTTCGCTGGGAATTGAGCTTAAAATGCGATTTACACTCGTCAAATGCATCGTGGAAATCAAAATATTTATCGCGTTCAATTAAAATAGCCTTAGTGCTGCCCGAAGTAAATAGAACAAGTGAAAATGGTGGCAGGAAAAAGGGGGGAAAAAAAAAAAAAAAAAAAAAAAAAAAAATACATAGAGCAGCATTTTGCGAGAGAAATGCAGTGTCATTGAAAATTGGACTTTTTTGTATGCCCTTTTCATTTTAGAAGCAAAGTAAATCGCAAGAACCTGAGAGCGAACGACCGAGAGCATCGTGATTGTAAAACGTGTGAACGACTGTCGCATTTCAAGTCTCTTTATCTTTTGAAATACTAAGTCTCGCGGGAGTTTCGCAAACGATCTTCCTTATGACGATCGTCCTATGATCCAACATATAAAATCTGTTTCCAATTCAACGCCACTTAGCTTATTGATACGTGTCGTATATATTGTTTTGCGAGCTTTTGTTTTACGATTTTGACACATTTATTGTGCTCGATATAACTGTCGCTTAGAAAGAAATTAGAGTTATACACGTCGCATTAAAGATTAATTAACGCAGCAATAAGTTCAGCATTCATATGCGTTTATCTTTATCTTTATATTTATATATCTTTGTATTTTTTTGTTTCGTTCATTCGTTTGTTTTTTGTTTTGTTTTGGCAATCTCAAGGCTTGCAATAGTAATTCGTTTGTCAAAATAAGCTCGTAAAACTAATGAATTCCTTGATTCTCCCATTTTTAAGCTGAATCTTTTTTTTATAAAATTCCAATTAACGTGAAAATAAAAATTTCATTGGCATCCTTCTATATGACGTGGTTTCGAAAAGGTCGCACTACATAAGAAAGAGATCATATCTCTATTTTTTTCTTTTTCTTTTTCTTCTCTTTTTACAAACAAATAATCTTATAAGTCTTATGCAAGTATGAAATTCTCAAAAAAAAAAAAAAAAAAAAACAACGTTCATAATTCAGATGTACGATTTTCAGAATATACTTTAAATGTTTAATAGTTAATTTAAGAATTTTACCGGTACTTGAGAAATGTGACGATAAAAGATTGTGAATCTAACTATAGCTTGGATATTATATTGAAATTCTGAACTGAAATATCACGACACGATTATAGGAAAATATTTAAAAACATGAATTTATTAGAAATTAAGAGCCCGAACGATAGTCGCTATTCTTATATTTCAAAATTATTAAAGTCTCTCGTTTTTACATGAGATACGGCCCTCACTGGAGAATTATCACAAGCAAACGCTTGTGAAAATAACAGACGAGCGCGTCTTTTGTGTTTCGATAATTAGCCGCTATTATAATAATGCAGTACGTAGCTGTATTTTAAATTATAACGGCTTGCATGAAAAGGCTACAAGTGCCGAGAGAAATGATAAATTGCAAGGAATTGTGTAAAGTTTTAGATATTTCATTAGCATTAAAGGGGATTCCGTTTTCTTGAATATGCCTCTCTATATTACCCTCTCTATATTATGAGCCTGAGATAAGGTACACAGATAACGAAGATTAATTCCGCGGAGTTCTCTCGCGATCAATCACCTTCACGGCAAAATATAAGAAGAAGAAGAAGTAAAAAAAAAAAAAAAAAAGGAGAAGGAAAGCCAAGCTCCGCTTAGTATTGGTTACTCCCGAGGAAGCGCCATCGTCCGTCCCATTTAGGACATTCCAATTCGAAATCGGGTTTCCGTCAAGTGCTCTCGAACGGCTCCTCATTCGGCCATCTCGCTCACCCTTTCGCGGCCCTAATGGTCGGAGGAGTCAAGGACAAATGCCAGGTAGTCCCCTCAGAGGGTCGTGACGATGTGGGGTTTAGCGGTGGTCGAGGCGATCTCCGAGAGTCGGACGTCGATCGGGAGCCGGTCGTCGTAGAGCGTCGGCGCCTGGAGGATTATGCCCGCCGTACCCACCACCACCGCCAGCGTGAAGATCCAGAGGAAGAGCCTATCCAGCACCATCGCCACGAACTTCCAGTCCTCCTTAACCTGCGCGAGCGACGACACACAATATTACATACACTGGTCCGCGTTACTCTCTATCTCCCTCCCCCCGCTCCAATTGCGCTTAAAACCCTCGTTATTTTTACTATCTGGATGATCATCGTATCTTTTGCACTCCCATTAGGATCATTAACTACCTCTTTCAGGACTATCGCATCTTTTTTCAGCCAAACTTATGCGCTCTAACCCGGATATTATTTATTTATCCAGCTGCCGACCTAAAATCACTTAAACAACGCGGCCTTCCTATTTCTAATTAACTTTCATAACCGACCAGATGACCTTCCCGGATGGATAATTTATTTAAATTATTTTACAGAGAATATATAATTCAAGTTGTGATTCACGAAATTGATTCCTACGGACGCTGGGTTTAACATTGACCAATTTATCATCCGTGCCTGTTGTGAAAGTTGGACTGTTTATAAATATTATTGTGTTTGTATGTGTGCCTGATTATCATTAAAAGAAAAAAAAAAAAAAAAAAAAAAAAAAAAAATAAAAAAAAAAAAAAAAAAAAAAAGCAACAACAACAAATACGGTTAGTTCTGTAAAATTTGGTAAATTTCACAAGAGTATAAAAATTTTATCTAAATTTTCTCTTCGACATTATCGTATATTCATTAATATTTAACACCCATATTATCAACCCATAATTCCATAATTTTTTTCTTTCTTAGTACTAATGGTTATTACGATTTAAGCGACGAAAAATGTTAATGCTATGCTTAATCGTGATAAAAGTAGTTATTCTTGAAAAAAGTAATTAACAAAATAATAAAATCACTTGCCTAGTATTATTATTATTTATTATTATTTATTATTATTATTTTGATCATGAGTCGCGGCGATTTGATTTTATCATAAATTCAATTCAATTCAATTCAATTCAATTCAATTCAATACAATTCAATTCAATTCAATACAATTCAATTCCTGAAGATTGTAAAGGAACGATTATTTAACAAAGTAATTCTTTCACTTTCTCGAAGTTTTTAAAATATTTCCAAAGATCCATTTTCATGCAAAATCATTAATTAAGCGCGTGACGAAGGGATGAGATTAATTATCCCGGATAAATCGATTTTATTATTCATGAAAACTCTATTATATAAGCAGCCTCAGATTGTTTTTATTCCTAAACGTGTATGTTTTTTCTTCTTCTATTCTCTCTCTTTTTTTTTTTTTTTTTTTTTTTTTTTTTTTTTATCCCCAGCAAGCATTGTTCTACAAAGGGCTTAATGCAAATTTATTTTAAATTTCGTTTAATTATGCTAATCATTTACTTGCAATCTAACGGAACCGCCCATTGGGCAATTGCAAATTAAAATGCTACGTTCGTGAAAAAAGGAATGGAAATGAGCGACTACGGGGATGAGTAGACGGAAGTAGAATGGAGTTTAGTGGGAGAGGGGTGGTGGTGGTGGTGGTGATGATGGTGATGGTGATGGTGGTCGAGTCAGTGCTGCGTACCCTAGTGGAGTCCTCCTCGCGCTTGGTATGGTCGGCGATGTAGCGTATGCCCTCGATGGCCTTGTAGAGCTCGGGACAGTGGTGCCAATGGTTGAGGCTGTGGCAGAGGGCCTCGACGCTCTCCTCGGTGGGTAAGGCTCTGGGCCCGGTTGCCGCCGGTGAGCCGTGGATCCGGCACTGGCTCCCCAGGTTCACGGCCTCGAGCTCTCTGCAAAAGCAGCAGGATCGTGACACGGCTTTACTCCCTACCGATTTTATCGAAACGCGACTATCGAACTTATTTCAGTCCCGCGACTCCCAAACCTTTGAATTGTTTAGTTCGCCCGCGGGGGAAACGAGCGTCCCGAGGTGGTCCCTGCACTATCGTTGTCCAACAGACTTTAAACGCGCATTGGGTTTTAAGGTTTTAGGGCGCTCGGCGTGCTTTGCTTCGTTTTACGAGCGCGTTATAATGTATGGATTCTTGTTTGATTATTGTTTGATTCATGTTGGCGGTGTAAGTTTAGAGCGCGAGATTAAAACTTTCGCTGTTTACGTGCGATAAAAGACGACGAGCTTTTCATTCGAGAGACGAGTGTTATTTGCGACCTTTTGTCTCTAATTGAAATTTAATTTGTTTTCAATTATAATGGCATGTCGGACTAGTTTGCTTGACAGCGGATGGGCCACCTTTATCTTTATCTATCGTTTATTTCTTTTATTTTATCCATCACAAGTTATGAATTTCAATTCTTTAATTTTACATTAAAGGATTAATAATTATGTTTTAATTATGTATATTAAGTGATTTGTTTTAGTTAGCTAAATAACTGGTTAATTGTGTGTTCGGGAGCTACTAATGCGTTTCGTACATGTAGCCAAATGTATTAACGGTCTACCCGAAATTTTCATTTCCATAAGAGGATTAATAGAATTATTGTACAATTGATTTTATTAATTGTCATTTTTCGCCTATAGTATGAGTTTCTAAGTAAATTATTGAAGTTGATTCGTTTTTAGACTTCTCATAGATTTATTATGACGGTTGGATAGCTTCATATGTAGACAGTCTAATATGAAATTTTGTAATGACATTATTATTGTCAATAATGTAAAAGAAAATATAAAGGTAAAATAAAAAAATCAATCATACTATACATAGATATGAGCGTCTTTCGTGTCCGTGTAAATGTGCGCGCGTGGGGGGGGGGTGGCGCTCGCTCGAATAATGAATGTATTGAAATTAAAAATATATTTATTAAATAATAATTACATCCACGTATGAGTTTGTATGTGAAAATTAGCTTTACGATCGATGGTAGCGCTTAAAAAACAAAGCCAAAAATGATATTAATAATAAATAATGTTTGAATAGGTTGAATGAACAATATATTAATAGAAAAATTATAAGTTTTACAGTGTAGTCTAATCAGTTGGTATGTTGAAATGTTTTTAAAAAGAGAAACTCGAACAATACGTATGAAAAATATCATTCAAAGACAAAAGTATAATAATGAAATGTTACGAGTTAATCAATACTGTAAGGATGCCGTAACATGTTGAACAAAGAGCAATAGCACGTTGATCTACCCGAGATTGTGGTTTATTTTCGTGAAACTGTAATTTCTTCAACGTACATTATTATTCAGTGTTATGAACCCATAAATAATGCTATGTGTGTTTATTTTTAAAGGATTATATGCTTGAATAGTATTGAGCTTTAATTTCATTTCAACAAAAATGATATGTTTCATAGAAATATTTACTAATATTATTAATGTGCGGAATAGATTTTGTACTTTTGCCTTTTCAAATAATTTAAAATATTTTCGTTTTATGTCGAGACTTTAGTCCTAATTGTCAAATAATTACATTAAGTCATTATAAATATTTTTATAATCTTATATTGTTACGTTTGAAAAAATTTGCTGTGAAGAAAAGCATTGAATACATAAATGTTAAAATAAAATAATCTACTGAAATTTAACTGACATTTGGAAGTGACAACTTTTTAAGTTAAATTTAATTACGTAGTAACGAAGACAGTTTACCGAGAGCTTATATAATGTTATATAACGCACTAATAATAATATGAATTTCATTACAGTTCTATAAATATTTGGTGTCTTGAATTTCAATGTCCGAATTAATTGCGTCGAAAGTTTCACAATTAACAATGTCCGAACATTGTTATTGATAAAAACTCATTTGTCTACATGGGATGATTGTTCATTAAATTTTATCTATATCGAAGACAAACTTTTAACAGATTTTCTAACGAGAACCACTTCAATTATTTATGATATATTTATCTATTGCAAAATAAAAGTGAAATATAAATTATGCATGCATGCCAATTATATTGTATCAATAGCGTTTTAATTAAGCTCCAATGAATTTGGTTTCAGTAATTCACGAGTGCTCAACTGTTTGTGCAAAATTACTTTTACAGTGACGACATATTGTCGTTTTTTTATTTGTAAAACATGCTCAAACGTTGCTTATTATATATGTGTATAAATCGAATTCGTATGTATTCAAGGTGTAAGAAATAGCAATAAAATTTTATATGATAAGATAATGAATCAGCTTAAGGGACACGATAAGGTGCAGAGACAGCGAAGGTATCGGAAAATTATACACGAGTCTTTGCCAGTACATTAGCTTTAAAAAAAAAAAAAAAAAAAATAAGCGCAAGTGCTATTTAATAAATTAGAACATTCATATTGCCTGTTGTGGCATTCACCACAGGTCCAACACATCTTTTAATGACAAAAAATTGTAGAACGAAGAGAAGTAGATAATTTGCGGTAATTACATGAACCTGGGATTCAGCTCGTCCCTTGAGTTGAGACTGGGGAAGAGTACCGAGGACTCGAGGAGATCAGAAGCCGAGGCCTCGGCGTAGAGAGAGGAGTCCCGTAGCTCAAGGCCGTTGCAGGTGCGCACCATGACCCGTTGGGATGGGTGTCCCGATCCCGATGTCGAGCCATGATCCGCTGTCAGGCTGCGTTTGTCAATCTGGTACTGCGGCCTGGGGAACAAACTAAACTGGTTGACTAAACGTCGAAAAAAGCTTAGTAATCGTACCTCCGTGACGACGCAGATTCCGCACCTTAAATATACACTGCGAGAGACACTTGTGAATCTATTACTGGACATTTATAGTTTTAAAATTGAGACAGAATACGGAATGATTGACATTTTCCCATTGTAAATTTACAAGCGCATGTTTCCATAAAATTCCAAGCCACTGTAAGCAACGATTTCAATTGTCGAATTTCGAAATTGTAACTTATAAGCGATAAAATTTATGCCATCTTTTAATCTTTAAGTCGCTTAAAAATCCAAGTAACATAGTTTTCCAATTAACATAGAAATATTTCTAGTTGTCCGTAGAGATTGATTGATTTGTGGCTTCAACTTTAGACTTTAGACTACTGAATGGTAAATGAAATTATCTATTTCAATATCGTTAATATTACATTTTTATTCAAACAAATGTACCCCATACACAATGAGGCAATGTGTGTATTTTGCTACCGCGGTTGGGTTAAATTTTGAATACTTTAATTATTTATTTCATTGACAATAAAGTGTAATGAGAAGAAGAATCTTCGAATATGCTATATAGTCGAGACGAATCATAATGATCGAGTTCATAAAAGGATAACGACAATGCTATTTCTAACTGAACTTACGTAGTATATTATAAAAACTGAGATTATAGAGGTAAAAATTTGTAACTGTGTGTAGCGTGTGAAAATAAACACGATCTGACTAAAGTGACGACGCTTTATAGTGTTACGACTTTCACTGTATCGAACAATTGCAGTCCATAAATTATTAAATTTCAAAGACAATGAAATTTCAACAAAAACATTAAATACTTTTGTCATGTAATAATATATTTTAACAAAGACTTATATAAGATTAAAAAATATATATGGATGATATTGCTAATTCATGGAAACATTTCAATAATACAGATTTGAGATTATTATTATTACTAACATTGAATCGTCCCATTCATTGGTATTGGCAACAATGATAGATTTAGCTTAAATTAAACGAACTAGATTGCTATTTTAATCCCAATAATATTTTATAAATAGATCTTAAAAAGTAAAGAATTTATTAATGCGTATTTTAAGTTAATATTTATTTCAGTCATGTGTTTGGTCAAACAATTGTGCAAATTTCATATATAGATGTATGAAAAATTGTATGCTGTTAAATATTAACTAGAATTCTAGAATTCTAGAATTTTAACTAAGCAATGAGAGGAATTAA